TAATATGCAACTAAAAAAGTATTCCACAACACAATGTTGTAAATAAGAAGAGTCCAGCATTTGAAACTTGAGGTGAAAAAAATAAATCCTACACAGAAAAAAATCAACACTGGAAAAAAAAAACATTTTTTTAATGGATGACTTATTGACAATATTCATAATTTATAAACATTATAATGCAATGGCAGAATCCACTCACCCTCTGTGCCTTTACCCTCTTTAGACCAGGGCTTTTAGTTGGCGTTCTTTTAATTGGTGATGATAATGTTATTCTTTTCCTCTTCTTTGAAATATATGTTCCCTCTTTTTGTCTCTTCTCAAATAATGTTTTTGATGCATAATTTTCCAGTGGTTGTCCCACACATACGCCTATCTTCCTCCAAAGATGGCTTGGATGGAGTCAGTTCACAATTGGACCAGTTTTTTTAATGCCTCAACAACAGAACCTTTAGAATGTTTCAGTTAACGTTTTACACTAAACTTTGTGAGTGAGTGAGTGAGTGAGTGAGTGAGTGAGTGAGTGAGTGAGTGAGTGAGTGAGTGAGTGAATTAGTGAAAAGATAATGAGAAAATGAATGAAAAAAGAGTGAATGAATGAGTGTGTGAGTGAATGAGTGCATGAATGAATGAATGAATGAATGAATGAATGAATGAATGAAAAAATAATAAAAGAATGAATGAAAAAAGAATGAATGAATGAATGCTTATTTACTGCCTATCCTACATGCACACCTACCCTTGCACACAAAACAAGACACACACATATTACACACATACACTCACTTCCAAGCTCACACATACACATTTCTCTTCTCTTCAAAGCTGCCAAATAACTAGTATCCATTCGATCCACAAACAATGTATTCAAAATTGCTACTCTTATACACAGTGCATTCTCTCCACACACATTTTTACACAATTCTTTCATATCATCCTCATATTTATACAGCAAACTACGACCACTGTTATACATCACCCCTCTAGAAAACTCTCCAACTCTCCCAATCTCCTGCCAATACTCTAACACACTCGTACACACACCCACAATGAATCACACATCTCACATCACTAACATCCACACCCATTCCCATACCAAATGCCACAGTTGCTATCACACATCTTATAACATTATCAACCTTCACAAATTCTTTCACGATTCTCTCCTTGTCTTCATCAACTAACCCTGCATGAAACATTTCAATTAATCTTTTCCCCTGCACAAAATTATCACTCCCGGGTACATTACACCAAGCAGCATACACTGCACCACATTGGACAATGGTCCTGTAGAGAAAAATTATTATTATACAACTACATATACATATATATATATATACACAATATTTATTTATTTATTTATTTGACTCTTTTATCTTTCAGTTGTTTTATGTAATAGTCCTATTCAGTTTCTATTTCTTTTCCACCATTGACATACTCCAAAAATAAGTTTGGTCTGCAAAAGATATAAAATGACACTACAACTACATGTACTAATATGATGATGAAAATAATAATTGGACTTGTTTCTAAATTATTACCTATCAGGCACAACTGCAACAACCTCCATGGATGTTCTTTTAAAGTGCAAATGCACTAAAATCCTATTAACAATATCATTTGTTGCTGTTGCATTTAGTATTAGAAATGGTCTGCCACCATACATACTACGAAAATCCACCAATTTCTTATAATGTGGTCTAAATGTTTAGCCCCTGTGAAATAAAGCAATAAAAACATAATCAAACATTGATTTTAATTTTGATAAATAATTCTTAGTGCTGCATATGACCCTTTCATAAGGATACTAGTAACTACTCACCATGTATCAAGAATATGTGCCTCATCTATAGCTACAAGGCAGACATTATTTCTGTATATTGGAGATCTTAATATTTCACTCCATGAATCAATGCCCTGAGGGCTGAGAAAAACCACACTAAAAACTCCATTCTTCACATCTTAAATTTAATAATAATAATAATAATAATAATAATAATAATAAAATTGATAATAATAATAATAATAAAATTGATAATAATAATGAAATGATTATATAATATATATATAATAGAAGATAAATTATAACTTACCACTAAACATTTGTTCGGTCATTTCTGACTTCATCATCAAACATATAGATTGCACACCAATATTTTTGAGAGCATTGCACTGGCTCACCATTAAGCTCTTCAGTGGTGTAACCACTAAAGAAATATGATGTGTCTCAGGTGACTCATCATCCAAAATCAATGGAGGGATTACAAAACATAAACTTTTACCATATCCTGTTGGCAAAATGCATTTATAATTTCTCTCTGTTTATCTTTAAGATTATATATTAAATTAAGTTTACTATTAAATGTTTGAGCAGAGCCATGATTGGGTAAAAGTAATGATGGACCCCTCATGTACATGTTAATTCACACTATGTGATTTTCCTCAATTCCTATAATTAACACACTGAAAAAAAAATACATGACTCAATTTCCAGAGTCTGCTCGTTGATTCAGGCCGGGGTCACAGGAAATACTGCCAAGTTGCACTGAAATACACAAGGGATGACTTGGATCAGTCAAAAAACAGAGAAGCAATCTCAGTGATGAAATTTTAGAATTAAAACTTAATATTGAAGAGTTGGCAAAAGATCATGCCTGTACATTCAACAAGTGGAATCACAACGAAGAGGAGTATCACTGAGCAGAGCTAACAAACGAAAACAGTAAACTGATTACCGTCTATGCCATATATAAGAAACAAAGAACTTCCTTCAACTTTATTCTGTCTTTTCAGAGTAATTTGATAATGTAACAAAACCACCTTTAGCTGAGAATTTGGGAAACTAACTAACAAACTAACTAACTAACTAACTACCTAACTAACTAACTAACTAACTAACTAACTAACTAACTAACTAACTAACTAACTAACTAACTAACTAACTAAATAAATAAATAAATAAATAAATAAATAAATAAATAAATAAATAAATAAATAAATAAATAAATAAATAAATAAATAAATAAATAAATAAATAAATAAATAAATAAATTGTATATTATAATGCTCGTTAATTATGTTATTACCCCAGTAAGTAAGTAAGTGAACTCCCCGAAGATGTTTAGCTTGTTTCAGATACATTGCAAAGTGTGAAGGCAGATTTATGCCTGCAATTCCGTTTTTTATTTATTTATAAAATCATTATATTCATACGTGCATGAGTCTATACTTTATTTACTGGCAATTTGTTTTCCTTGTTCAATCATAAGTTATACAGAGTACGACATTCGTGATAAACCACTGTGACCCCCCTGTAAAAAAAGTTCCTTGGCCCATTCTCTGATTTATTCCCAGCATGCATTGATAATGCGATGACCTGACACAATAATGGCAGCAGTCGACAATGCAGTAAACATTGCAATCGTTGGGTCGTGTAACACTGATCTGATCAGGTACAGTTAAATTTTGTATTTTATAAATAGTGACCTTATCAATGCGGTGATCAAGTGAACATGGCAGTAGCTCCGAATCTTGTTTATCTACTCGCTCGTGCACGTCGGTGAGGCGACAGTATGGTAGAGCACAGTCCCTCTACGAGTGTGTTGAGAAACTGTGGGCAGGTAAACAGTAGATTTCGCAAGGTTGTCTATTCCCAGTACAGGGGCTCTGTCAGGTTGGATTCAAACAAAGTGCAAACCAAAATAATAACGACATAAATTCATTCATATAAGAGTTGACCTCCGCTTCCTTCTGTTTGTATGTTTACACCAGCTATGTGCCACGCCTACCTAAGCCAGGAGAAACAATTCACGGGACAAAGTTCAGCGTGGGATTCGGGGGGAAGGGCGCTAACCAGTGTGTGATGGCGGCAAGGCTCGGAGTCAAAGTAGCCATGGTTTCAAAGGTATTTGTACATATTTGTACATATTAATTGGTATTATAAAATATTTATAAAATATGACATTCTTCTCAGTATCTGCATTTTTATTGATCATAGATGAAGCTTCAAAATTTGAAGTAATCTTAAAAAAAAACATCATTTTTTTTTAACTTTGAAAATTAAAAATTGATATTTGCCACCTAGATGAAATGGCTCTGTGACTACCACCCAAATAAATTATTTACAGATGAGAAGTTTATTAATTAAATTATTTTCACAAGTGGTGCAGTAAATCCCATGGCCATAATTCCATGAGCCGAGTGAGACAAAATACTATGAGATGGATATATTGCCCTTGCGTTTCCAAGTGAAAATTATATCAAGACCAAAAAACGTTTGCACAAACATTTATGACCTTGTTATTTGAACATGAATTCAGTTCTATGGTTTGATAAGAGATTTGAAATGTAAGTTACTCCAGTGACAAAAATCAGTGATAACATCCAACGGGGTGTGAAACTGCACTTCAAAAAGATATAACAGCCAGCCTCTGGGTGGTAAAATACAAGAATTGCCGACAGGTTTATTTCAACATCAGGTCAGTATTCAGAATGTTTTTTTCGTTTGTTTTTTTTCCAGGTTGGAGATGATTCATTTGGTCATGATACTATAAAGAATTTTCAAACCAACAATGTTAATACAAGTAAGCTAGCTTATAGAAAGCCTCCAAGAATGGCTGTATATAATAGCGTCTACATCGCATAGGACTCTCATCAAACACAATACCGTTCATTATATTGTAGTGTTATATACTGGTATAGGGCATTGCTCATTTCTCATATAAAAAGATGCTATGAAATAGCCTCGTAGAAATGGAAGAAACTCAGTTTATCCCGCTATAATAATATCAGCATGTTTGACCATGCAAATTTAAGTATGTAAACAAACCCTGTCATGTGGGCTAGTGAGTTCCTGGAGGTGAATGTTGATACCAATATATAATATTTTGAGTAATCAAGCAGACCAAGTTCGGCAAACAAACTTTTATGACATCCTTAAAATTGTTGGCAATACTAATGCAGAAAACCTCGTTGATATTCCAGTTTTGTGGAACAAGCAAGCTACTGGATCGCGTCTGTACCACTCTGACAAATAGTTGCACGCAACTGATAATTTTGATCTCCAAACGCTAGATGTGAAAGTGATCGGAAAGGTGTGAAAAACTGGATGACTGACATTCCAACATTCATGTCAATAAAGATCTAGGATAATAGGCTAATTATTGTAATGTACAGTTACTGTAGAATACTTTATTTTAGCTTGAATGAAATTTCGCTGAAAATACTTTTTGAGTATTTTTAATGGAATTTATTTTCACTGATTTTTGACAAGTTGAATGTAAAATATAGGAAAAAATGTATATTCACTGAATTTTATTTTCACTGAATTATTCTTTCAGTGAAAATAGCAAAAATTAATTCCAAGCAAAAATAAAGTATTTCACAGCACCAAGTATTCTAAGGTGCAATGCATTATATAACTGCTACTACTTTACTGTATGAGCTGTAGATATCTTGACTATGTTTTGTCATCTTACAGATCACGTTAGTATGACGAAGGAAGCGGCAACAGGAGTTGCACCTATTACAGTTAACACAGAAGGTTGTGTAATTGTGTAATATACTATATTCACCATCCCTTCTGATTTACAAACTTATATTTCTTTGAATTTGTGTAGGATCAGCAATAAATTCATGAATATGAAAAGTACAATCAGGGGTATATATGACATTTTTCTTAACATTTTACTCCTAAAATAGTATCACAAGTCTTGTTGTGATGTAATTATTTTACTGTGAATTTTTTAACTTTTACAACTGGTACTAGGAATTTTCAGAATTTTAGTCTGTTCATTTATTTTTCCCATGGTGCTTTGCAGTGTTCTCCCTTAGCAAATTTCGCACTGAGAGATGTTATTTTATTTCAAACCAAAGAAATGACAAGGAATGTTTCTCAGCATGCCCAAATTCTTTGAGAAACCTGCTTAGACTGAGAAAATAGGGGGAAATAATCAATAAGAGTACATTTCCAATTTTCAGTATGGTGTGTG